CCCAGGACAGAACACGGACGAGCTCCCCTCAGACCCCCCAGAACACACCCCCACCTCATTCCAGCCATTCCCATCCCCTCCCTGCTCCCCCCAGCCCCTCCTCACCGTGAGGTCTGGAATACCCGGGCGGCGCCGGCCCCGCTCCGGGCGCTTGCCCCGGGCCCTGCGCGGCGCCGGCGGGCGGAGGTAGAGCAGGAATCTGCGGCTGCATCCCCGGCAGCGGCCGCTTGCCCTGGACGGCCACCTGGAGATGCTCTGGAAGGGGTTGCCCTCGTGCCAACAGCTTGTAGGCCATGATTTGGGCACGGAGCTGGTGCAGCTGGGCGGCGTTGAACGGGGACGGGCCCCGGCCCAGCGCGGGCGAGTCGGAGCCGGAGCCGTCCAGGGCGGCGCCGGAGCCGCCGGCGGAGCTGCTGGAGGGGCCGTTGGACGGCACCGGGCTGGAGGCGTGCTCTGAGCCGCCCAGAGGGGATGGGTAACCTGGCAGGAATGAGGGATTTATGGATGGAGTCATTGGAGATCGGGATTTCCACTCTGAAACCCCACAGGGATGGGAAATCCCATTCCCAATCTACTGCGTGGAATGTCAAAGTAACAGCAATCCGGCCCTGAGGCAGCTGGAATGGAAAACTCACGCCCAACCCATTCCTGAGGCAGTTGGAATGAGAAATCCCATTCCCAATCTGTCCTCAAGGCAGCTGGAATGGGAAATCCCATTTCCAACCCATCCTTGAAGCAGCTGGAATGGGAAATCCCATTCCCAATCCCATTCCCAATCCTTGAAGGCGGAGGGAGGGAAATCCCATTCCCAATCCATCCCTGAAAATTTTGGAATGGGAAAACCCACCCTAGAAGCAGCTGGAGTGGGAAATCCCATTTCCAACCCATCCTTGAAGGAGGAGGGAGGGAAATCCCATTCCCAATCCATCCCTGAAAATTTTGGAATGGGAAATCCCACTTTCAACCCACCCTAGAAGCAACTGGAATGGGAAATCCCATTCCCAATCCATCCTTGAAGCAGTTGGAATGGGAAATCCCTTTCCAAATCCATCCCTGAGACATTTGGGATGGGAAATCCACTCCCAAATCTGTTAGGCAGGAATAAGGAGCAAGGAATCCCCTCCCAAAATCCATTCTTTGGGACCTGGAAATTCCCTGGATTGCTACCAAAATCCAGGATTTATGTCATGGTATCCTGGAATGATGGAAACCTCCCAAAATCCAAATCCAGGATTTGGACACTGCTTCCAACTTTGGGAATGCTGAAACCTCCCAAACCAAGGATTGGCCAAGGATTTGGACACCATTCCCCCCCTTCCCATGCTCCCAACCTTGGGAATGCTGAAAACCTCCCAAAATCCAAATCCAGGATTTGGACATTGCTTCCAGCTTTGGGAATGCTGAAAACCTCCCAAATTTGGCCACCATTCCCCCCCTTCCCATGATCCCAACCTCGGGAATGCTGACAACCTCCCAAATTTGGACACCATTCCCCCCCTTCCCGTGCTCCCAACCTTGGGAATGCTGACAACCTCCCAAAATCCAAATCCAGGATTTGGACACCGTTCCTTCCCTTACCCCCCATTTTTTCTTCCCATGATCCCAACCTTGGGAATGCTGAAAACCTCCCAAAATCCAAATCCAGGATTTGGACACTGTTCCTCCCCTTCCCATGATCCCAACTTTGGGAATGCTGACAACCTCCCAAATTTGGCCACCATTCCCCCCCTTCCCGTGCTCCCAACCTTGGGAATGCTGGTCCATGGGGCTGGGGGGGGGCCCCATTCCCGCGTGCCCCCCCGGGCGCATTCCCATTCCCTTCATCTGCCCGTAGCGCGGATCCTCCGACATTCCCTTCTCGTGCATCGCATCCAGGGGCTGCGGGAGGCAAAAAAATCCCAGAAAATCAGATTTCAACATAGAATTCCTGGAGGAAATTCTGCTCCCAACCCACAGAATTCCCAAGGAGATGGAGAATCCTTTTTATTATTCCCAGAAATGCCAGATTCCAGCTGCTCTGGCCCCAAAAATCCTTCCCACAGCACAATTCCCTGGATTTTTTAATTAAAAATCCCTCTGGATTATAGGAGGGGAATTGTTGTTAAATCCCAAAATCCAGGAGGAAAAGCCTCTTAATTAATGAGTTAATTAATGGGGGTGGGATGGGGGATTTTTCCATTCTTGAGGTTTTTCAGTGCATTTTTGGAGGAGAATCTTCCTGGACTCCTTCTTCTTCTTCTTCTTCTCCACCATCTTCTCTTCCTTTTTTCACATTCCTTTCTCCTTCTTCTTCTCCATCTTCTTCTTCTTCTCCATCTTCTTCTTCTTCTCCATCTTTTTCTTCTCCTTCTTCTTCACCGTTCCTCTCTTTCTTCTTCTCCATCTTCTCCTTTTTCAATTTTTTCTTCTTCTTCTCCATCTTCTTTTTCACCTTTCTCCTTCTTCTTCATTTTCTTCTTCTTCTCATTTTCTTCACCTTCTTTTCTTCTCCATCTTTTTATTTTTAATTTTCTTCTTCTTCTTCATCTCCTTCACCTTCTTCTTCTGTTCTTCGTCATCTTTTTATTCTTAATTTTCTTCTCCTTCTTCTCCTTCCTCTCCTTCTTCTTCTTCACCTTCTCTTCCTCTTCTTCACCTTCTTCTCCTTTTCTCCATCTTTTTATTCTTAATTTTCTTCTTCTTCTCCATCTTCTTCTCCTTCCTCTCCTTCTTCTCCTCCATCTTCTTCTTCTCCTCCATCTTCTTCTTCACCTCCTTCTCTTCCTCTTCTTCACCTTCCTCTCCTTCTTCTCCATCTTCTTCTTCTTCTCCATTTCTCCACCTTTTTATTCTTAATTTTCTTCTCCTTCTTCTTCTCCTTCTTCTTCTCCATCTTCTTCTTCACCTTTTCTTCTGCATCTTTTTATTGTCTCCTTTCTTCTTCTCCTTCCTCTTCTTCTTCTCCTCCATCTTCTTCTTCACCTCCTTCTCTTCCTCTTCTTCACCTTCCTCTCCTTCTTCTCCATCTTCTTCTTCTTCTCCATTTCTCCACCTTTTTATTCTTAATTTTCTTCTCCTTCTTCTTCTCCTTCCTCTCCTTCTTCTTCTTCACCTCCTTCTTCTTCTCCTTCAACTTCTTCTTCTCCTTTTCTCCATCTTT